TCCCTGCAGGTGCGGGGGGCGTCCCTCCCGGCGGGGCAGCCGTGACTTCTTGCCTTACCCCTGACAGACAGCGATGAAAACGGGAAACACAAGCAAAAACTGCCACAAAGGAGACGTGGCCTTTCCCCGTCATGGTGTGGCCTTTCCAGCCCTGTACTTCCAGGATAGCTGCTGCAGAGTGGGGGGGGGGAAATCCAACTTCGTCCTTCGTGAGATCTGCAGCCAGGTACCAGGTCCGTACAAAGCTCCAGGCCATCGCAGAAACCCCTCTGATGTCTGCCCACCAGTTAGTATAACCAGTGAGGCAAAACCTGTGTGATTTAGAGCCCCCCAAACCACTTGGGTCTGTCGGGAGACCCCCATGCACCCCGACATCGAGATGAGAGAATGGATGCGCTCCGCTATTCCCAGCCACGAGCTGCTGCAACGTCCTTCGGTCCCTCAATTCCCCTGGCCGTGTCCCAGCTGCTAAAGCAACCCCTGCACAGTTTGAGGCGCAGGCTGCTCTGCCAGCGGGTGGGTTCTGCGGGAGCAGAGCAGGACTGGCCTGACCACAGTGCTGATGATATATGGCGATATTGGTATAAACTACCGTGAGCAGCCCATGGCTGTGAGCAGTCGGCCAGCCACCACAGCACGAGCAGCCGCTCCACGTGCAGCATTTCTCTGAGACAGGAGGACGCCTGGGGCAGCTGTTTTGTTTGCGGTGTGGCAGCAAGCTGGGCAGCTGCACGAATCCTCACCAGCAAAATGCATGAAAGCCCGCTTGTCCTTCCAGGCAGACGTGAGAGCAGAGGGAGGAGGACTGACAGCATTCTTAATCCATGTCCCCATTGCAAAGTTGAGCATTGTCAGCCCAAGCATAAGCAAAACAAAGAATCACGGAATGGTTTGGGTTAGAAGGGACCTTCAAAGACCACCTAGTCCAATCCCCCTGCCGTGGGGGGTGACTTCTTTCAGTAGATGAGGTTGCTCCAAGCCCTGTCCAACCTGACTTTGAACACTTCCAATGATGGGGCATCCACAACTTCTCTGGGCAACCTGTTCCAGGGTCTCACCACCCTCATTGTAAAACATTTCTTCCTTATGCACAATCTGAACCTGCCCTCTTTCAGTTTAAAAGTGGTGCCCCTTGTCCTGTCACTACAGGGCATCTGCAAATGCATTCTAGTTGCTGACCAGCAAAATCCGAACTGGACTCTAAAGTCTGCAGGAAGATGATGGAATTCTGGCGCTTTGCTGAAAACATGGATTGATGCATCTCCAAATACCCCCACAAGACCAAGATGTCATTCCTTTAGTTCTGCAGACAGAGGCCTGGCTGATGAAGTCCTCTGGGTGAGGGCAAAATAGCCTTGCCAATAAATGGTCCAGTTTGCACAAACCAAAACATTTATTTAAAGGAGTTGCACCTTTACTCCTAGACCAAATCACCAGAAAACAGATGGGGACAGCCTGAAAGAAGCACCTCTCCTGGGTCTGACTAACAGATTTTTCTCCAAAAATTCTGGTTTGGGGAATGCGTCTTTGTAGCACCGGAAAGGAGAAAGTGGGTGTGTGTTTTGTGAAGTCTGGGGGTGGTTATCTTTCATGGGGAGGCTGTCAGGAAGGGCGTATGGTTACTTACACTGACTCTGGTCTTCTGGGGGCAAAAGACCCAAGGAGCCCCCCCCATCT